TCCATAAAGAAAGAGAACACAAAGTGAAAAAGCTTTAGTTGAAGGTCATACAGCCGAAAAATAACAATTAACCAGTCTGAACCTTCAGTCCAGTTATATTTGCACCTATCATATACGTCTATTGTTTAAGAGTAATGTTAGTGGGGCTTGAAAGAGAGAGAGGGAGCTTTCGCGCTTTCTTTCTTTGAAAAGGTTGTAGGGTTTGGAGAGGGAAGGGGGGGGGGGGCTTTATCAAATATTTTCGGTTGTAAGTATCGATTAATCTACAATAAGGTTTCTCGTACGATGTGAGTTGCAGGTTTTAATGGTATTCTATGCTTGAAATGATTTCGAAGTCAGGCGCCAAAATATTAACTGTTTGACTTCGCTGGCTGAAATCACAATTCTTCTGCTAGCTTGCTAACGTTTCTCCTTGCTGTTTTTGTTGTATAGGTACGATGAAGAATGTAGTGAAACAGTTCCAAATTATCTGATGTCGAAGACAGTTTAATTTTCATCACAATTACGCGGTAGAGCGTTCCTCTCAAGGATGGCAACTCTTTATATATCTTGAAGAGAAAGAAAATGATACTTCTTCTTTTGATTTATTTGTTTTTGTCACATTACAGGCTGTAGAATTTAGATAAATGTACAGAAAAGGATGGTGCCGAGGAAGCCTGAACTGGAAGCCTGGGGCTTAGGTAGGGTCCAGGCTCCTCCTAGGTTAGTTGAAGTAGACTTACATTTTCGTCCCCAGAGCCTCCTAGGGGCCTGAGTACGAAAACCAGGACGCTCATGTAGAAAATCAGAAATGACCGACAGTCCTAAAATCTAGGACTTCAAATCCTGTGTCCCCAGAGCCTCCTGGTTCTCGTGCTCAGGCCCCCAGGAGGCTCTGGGGAAGAGAATGCTAGACTTAAAGAAGAGGAACGACGCGATTTAATAAAATCAACAACAGATTGCTAAGATACAGGAAAAAGGAATAGAATCAACATCAGTTACTAACAAAATTAATTTAAAAATAGGAGGAAGTTCAGTTATATACAATCATTTAGATTAGTTGGATTATAATAAAGATGGTCACATATTAACTAGAAATTTTTCGACAAAAGTTCACATTTAAGGGAAAATTTAAAATTAGCTAGACCATGTCATGGAAGTTAAATTTTTGCTTAGGTCCAGTTCAAACGTCGAACTTCTCATATGCCGAACCTAATACATAAATTACTAAAATTTATTTCAATGGTAAGCGTTTTAGACCATTACCATCATGAAAATGAATTGAGTCCGACTAATTAAGTTCGATATCTGAATCAACCGTCGAATGACTTATCATTTGGGTCGACCTAAATAGGTATTAAGTTTGGTATATGAAAAGATCGACGTTTGAACTTGGAGAGTTCCAAAAGTGTGTGCATTGGCAATATATTTTATTTGTAATAAGGTTGTGCTAGACTTTATATTGGGTCGAAGATACTGAGCAAATTGAGTTTTGTAATCATGAAGAACTTAAGAGAGGGGCACCCAACGTCAATTTTTGGAAAATATCTGTTCGGAATACGATCTGAGATTTAGAATTTTCGGAACATTTGTTGTAAGATTTCTTGCCTGCCTGCCTCTCGTAGGATTTTCGAACATCTAAAAGATGGTATAATTGCCCATTTTTAACGGATTTTTACCCTAAAAAGGTCACCTAGAATTTTCGGGACCTTTTTTCAGGCTGAAATTTTCGAAAAAGTAAGTTTTGATCCCTATAATTTTCGGATCACTAGACTTTCAGCTAGGAAATCCGAACAGATAAAAAATTTTTAGGGGATAAAAATGTGCCTGTATCTACCGTTTAAATACTAAAATACGTTCAACAGTCCTATGTATAAGTGGTTTTGAACTATATTCTCGTTGGGTGCCCCTGTTAAGAGAACCAGATGTGAAAAGATTGTCGAAGCTCGAAGGCAATGTAAGGAGAGATTTTTCATGAATTCTTTATTTGCCGCGAATTTCATATCTTTGACGTTGTTTTCAGTAATTCATACTGAAATTGCATAAAGATGTTTTAGCTCCGCAAAAAGGCTGGTGCCATTTTATTGTCCTTTGTTTAAGCTGCTTTGTGTCCGCTAAGTAATAATTGTAGAAAAGGCAACAGTGTTCCTTAACAAACCAAACTAATTGCTCGTGCTCTTTTCAATTATAAACATTTTACTTCAATTTTGACTTTTAAAAGGATAATTAGTTTCTGAATGATGGTTATTTAACTTCAGTCTATCTATCGTGATTTTACAACCGGACGACATCTATTCATAGGCCTTTTGTACAGATGCACCTTGTTTTAATTGCAATTTAGTTGTCTATTTGAGCTCAAATACTTCATTAAGTTGTTAGTCAAATAGAGCAACAGTTGAATTTTGAATATGAAAGGTTTTGCTTTCTGTTTTTAAGAGATAGGTTTTTGTTCAAGGTGAAAACTGGCTTGCAATTAGTCTACGCTTCTTTCTATTGAAACGGCCGCTCGCTGAACTTGCATTTTCATTCATATTGTAATACTTTGTACATAAAGGCTGTCTTGCTGACCTGGCTACAAGGTCTTTTATATTTCAGTACTGTACTTCTACTTTCTAAAATAACAACAGTAACAAAGATTTCAAGTTAAAAATAGAATTTTTATTAGTTTTCATTTAACTCTAAGCGTTTTCTGTCTATATTTCTATCGTATTCTTTTGTCTTCAATGATTGTAGAGGAATCATACAAAGTACCGGTAAGCTAGGTTTTACTGTTTTTCGATTATTTTCGCCTTTTCCTGTCTGAGTTATTGTCATTTAATCCGCTGAAGAATAAACGCTGTTGGAACCGAAGTTTAGTCCTGTTTAATTTACTGCTGTACTAGTCAGTGTTTGATCCCAGTCCTACAGAGAAGTGACGGCTCTGCGGAAAAACCTTCCGTCAATTTACCAAGGGCGTCAAGCCTATGCGAATTTGAGCTTGATATAAATGCAAAACTGTCGATCCCATAATTAACGATCCTTGTATGGGTTTTTTCATGATCATAATACACCAAATACTGATAAGTTTGATTAATGTTAACTTCGACATTTCCCTCCCACAGAATGACATAAAAAAAACTGGTCGTAGAAACGTCTCACAATCATCGGCTAATTTGAAGAATGATAAGTAACCGTTTAGAGAAAATTTTCCTGAAAGTTCTTTTCATTTCTCAATTTATACTTGGGAAAATAATGAGCTAAGTCCAATTCTTGATGTCAAGGCGACCGGATACCTTTCGGATGGTTTTGGGTTCATTTACACACAAGTTTTAACTCGAAATATCCTGAGCCATGGCTTTTTTATCAAGCACAAATGACCGACGCCCTTCATTTTGACGTCGGTGGTTTTTATGCATGCCCAATAAGGCAGTAGCGTAGGAGCTGTTCGTTAGGTCTTTCCTAATTGGTCGCAGGAAATAATGACATGTCATTCTGTCTATTGTTTTAGTATTGTTTGGGGTCAGGGAAACGCACCATTGACCATTCAAGAATATACCATAACATACCATAATAATCTTGGTTTGTCACTCCAAAATTTAGCGTAAACATCGTTTTCAGTTTCGTTTGCAAATGGGGCCATTTTAACTCCCAAGAGAAACTGAAGACAATGCTTATGCAAAATTTTGGAGTAACTAACAAAGAGTATTATGGTATGTTATGGTATTTTCTGGAGTGGTCAATTGGCCCAATAGGGAGCTTAAGCAAAGGCGTTTTTGAACTGCGCATGTCAACCGGAAGTGAGGACTTTTCCATTTTAATGATTCCAAGGGAGAAGTTGCAGGTGATCAATGTACCTCTGGGTCGCGCTTTCGTTAAAAAAAAAAAAAAAGAGAAGAAAACATTTCAGGCTAAAAGTTTTACATGATTTGCTCCTTCAGCAGACGGGGCTCCAAGGCTTCAAATCTAACACTAGCATAATTTTTGGCAATTCACCATTACTAGCATGCGCTTGATTTTCTTATTTTTTACCGCCAACAAAAGCATTGCTAGCATGATTTCACTTTTGGCTAGTTTTGCAGCACACAATTGTCCCGAAATCAGTGCTACAGCCAAATTTAAGTTACATAATCATTTTTTTGTTTGCTTATTGTCACTGGGACCTGGGTCTTATACGAAGTGACCCAGGACTTTTCCCCCAGGATTCAACGTATCCGCATAATAAGCTCGGTTTATACGATAACGAAAACGTACGCGTGCTGGTTTTCAATATTGATTGAGTTTTTGTATAAAAGCTGCCAGACAATGGATTCTGCTGTCTTTGAGTTTCTAGTCGAAATAAGCCCCGGGAGGTACTCCTTGGAGTTCTTGGTGGGGGTATGCGCACCCAGTTCTCCAAATCCTGACCCTATCTTATATCAAAAAATTTCATTTTTCACACCGGTTTCATACCTGGCCTCTAAAATCCATCCCTGTTTTCAAACCTAGCTTGAGAAATTATCAAGATCAATATATAAGGTTCATATGTACAGAGATGAACCGTTACGTTAACAGTACAACTCATACGGCGGTCATAAATCGGTCCATGAACCACACAGGAGGGATATAACACACATTTTATGTAAGGTAAGCTGTTTTTTTCATTAAAATCCTTTCATTTTCTTAGGTTACAGAAATGATAGGTTTTCCCCCATACAATCCTTATATTTCGAATGTTACGCAACAATGCCGATGCTCGCCGATACTCATATTTCCTTGGGCTACCTGCGTGATGTAAGTGCTACAGTTTGCGAGCACAATCTATCAAAGCCAAGAGAGAATATCTTATTCTCTCTTGTCAAAGCCTACTCCTGATAAGATAAAATTTTACGAAGACACAAGAATATATCAAAATACTTAAAAAACAAAAGAACTATAAACAGTTTTACAATTTTCTCACTGTTCTCCAGCATGCGCCTAATAATAAGTAGCCTGGGTACGAGAGAAAGGAGCATCTTCGGTACTCATACCTTGGCTCCTACCAGATGAAGGTCAAAATGATGCAACGTGGTCCTACATGTGGAAAGTTGGAAGTTGTGCGAACGTTTGTGTTTTGATATGAATAGTAGTGAAAATGTAAATTCTCAGTTATTTTTTCGCCCATTTGAAAGCCTGTGAGAATATTATTAAATCATTAATGCTCTTGACCTCGTAAACACTGCCTTGTTTCACTCCGGTGAGGAGAAAATCGCGTGTCTTTTAGCTCCAAGTGCAATGTGAAGTTCATGACCACCATTTTTTGGAAGCGTTTTCATGGCCGATAATTTGCTACAAGGGCTTCAGGCGGCCGCAAATGCGACATCACAGGCAGGGGTGAGTTTCTTGCCAACTATTTTTCTTTTGAACGGTTCGGTTGCCGCTCGAACATCATATAGCAATGCAATCGTATATAGATTATACATTGTCATTAACATTATTCTTATTAATTTTTTTGGCCAATAATGATAGGCCCTGCAATATTTTGAACAGCTAAAGAATTCCCCAGATGGCTGGAAGCTATGTGGTGATGCCCTAATTCGAAATTTTTACAGGTAATTGACATTTGATATTAAAGTTAATTGTTTTACTGTGGTATTAAGTCGTTAACGTTTTGGGCCTCATTGAGCATTATTTCAGAACTTGATTAAAAAGATGCATTGTTTGATATAATTTATATTGATTTTATGTTATCATTCACAATTCATATGCATCCATATAGTTCATTGTCTTTCATTCAAAATATTTTTTCTATTTGTGATTGACCAAAATTTGGCTGGATAGTCACAGTCGGGGAAAAGGGGAAAAAAACAGGGTCACAAAGGAAAAAGCGGTGGCCTGGAGGTGGAAGGGGAAAGGGCGAAGTGGGGTGGGGGTGGGGGGGGGGGGGGTGCAGCAGAGCCTAGAGTCATGCCTTTCATGCTGCCATTCTGTGATACCATTCTGGTGTCAAATGTCTTCATGTTGACGGATTCGCGGATGCTGTGGACAGTATCGCACTCTTTCAACATCATGCTCATACAATTCGAGAAAAGATTTTAAAAGATGAATGAGGTTGGATTGGCGGCATCAATGCATTTCTCCAGGCTCTACCCTTTCTCCTCCCCAGACTACCTCTTGGCCGGCTTTGTTTTGCTATAGCGAAGACCCCACTATACAGCCTGTAACCAACAATTTTTTTGGTACCATGGCACTTCATTATAGCAGGGTTCCATCAAAATCCTGCAAACAAGCTAGGGCTGGCGGGAAATGAACAATTAAGGCAAGCGGGATTTCAATTTGACTTGCTGAATGCTCCTAATTTTTTGCGGCCTCGACACCTAAAAACAACAGCAAACAGACTGCTTATCTTGCCAGCTACGCAGACTAATGTAACTAGACATGCAGGGCTCGAAATTGAAAAAATCCTCAGGTTGGCTTGTGGCGAACAACTGGAGAAATATAGTCACCAGATGCAAATTTTTAGTCTCCAGTTTTGATAATGTAAATGACGCAGCTCAGGGCTTGTGATATTTCGCGTGGTCGCAAAGCTGTGAAATTCAGGTAAATCCGCGATATTCACAAAAGCACGCAAAATACCGCAAAATTTGATTCAAATCTTATGAGATACGTGTCTGTACAACATAATTATGAAATTCATCTCAGCAAATTTATCTTGAAACTTTGTCACTGAAACATGCAAACAATGTCCCGAAACTACCAGGTGTAGATTATGTTGCGAAAAGCTGGGCACTAGCCATGACATTAAAGGCTTTGCCGTTGGTTCATTTCTGGAGCATATTGTTGTTGAAAGAGCAAATGATGACCTCTGTTTGAAAAACGTTAAAAATGCTGGTCTGATCAGCCGATCGATTTCTAGTGAATTTTCCCTAAAAATAACCACAAAATTGGCCGTTTTTTACCACTTGTTTTTAGGCAACGTTTGCCCCGAAGATTCCCAGGAAATTGGCCAATTTTTCTGGGAATTTGTCCCTAAAAATCCTGCAAAATTTGACTTATTTTTCACGACCTTTGAGAAGCCCGTATAGTATGGCGCGATCCATCAGATTTGAAAATATCAGTTAGTTATTTGAAAAACTGTGTGTGTTTTTATCTGTGTATATAGTTACCCAGTTGATACAGTTGAGACTCTGGACAGTACACTCCTCTTAAGTAGACAGCTCTTCTTTCAGGTTATATCAGTTTTTTCACATACCTGCTGGTTACGCTTCAAAACACCGCTTGAATTTTATGCTTGTGCCTGAATTACAGCATTGTCAGAGCAACTGTATCAAACAATTTTTTTTTTGGTATCACAGAAATGCACCCCTTGATAATTGACGATCATGAAAAATGACATAGTGAGAGTGTCAATCAAGAAATCCCCTGTGTATATTCTTTTCCTGATTATTGTTCTTGCTAGGAATACGACAAAATAATTTAAGAATAAAACTTCACGCAACTGACAATACTTGAGTCTATCTGTCTAAATTTAATCCAAATTAGCACATGTAATTTAAACCCTTAAAAATTGATTCCAACACTTAAAATAATGGTAACAAACCAGTTTGTATTGTTTCTGCATTGTTTCTGGAAAGTGTGAGAATTGTCAATCACTATAAAGTTTATAAGAGACTGAAAATGGCTTTATGGGTACCCCACTTTTCACATAATTTTGACATTATTTTATCAATGGATGCCAAACTGTAATGTTGTAGCTAAGTAAGCTCCCATAAGCTGCCAATGATATAACCCTTTTACCTCTAGTGGCTGCAGACAAGAACCATTCTTGTAAGTGATCAGTTTCAGTTATGGACACACTTCTCTCATCTCAAGGGTGCCACTCACATGAGCATCTATTCTAGTACATGTACGTAGCTCCAGTATCACATCAACTGTCTTGTGTATGGGTGTGATAATTATAAGAACATTTCATCTAACTTGGCATTGTTGGTCTTCTATACTGTTTTTTTGTTGTTGTTGTTTTAGTGATGAAAGTGTCAAGTTCTTTTGCTTTCAAGTATTAGAGCATCACATAAAAACAAGGTAAAATTAAACATTGATAATTTCTAATTAGAATGATTAATAATAAATTTTACATGATTATTATAATGTGGCATCCATTTTAAAATTAATCTTCCTTCCATGGAAAAATCAAAAAGGTTTTATTCTGTTGGTTGATCCGCCATTTTAAATTTTTGTCCACCAAATTATTCTGAATAACTCTGATTAAAAGATGCCATCAGAGAATTTAATTTTTAAATATTTACTCGCTTGGTATGATGTTATGTAGCTATTATGATGAAAACCATTCAACTAGAGACAATTGGGTTTAATTGTTTTCTTACCAGGAATAACTTATAAACATTTGATCACTAGCTGTATTCAGTATACACAAATTGCTTCAGTGTCCTGTACTGTACAAGACATATCTTGGATGACCTTGTCTAAGTGTGTGATCCTGCCCAAAACATGACTATGTTTTTTTATTTTTTATTTTGTGCACAGACATGTGTCATCAAGTCTTGTAGATCAACAAGCAATCAGAGAGATTCTTTTGACCTGGCTACGAAATCAGGTACACTAGGCTAATTTACTCTACAGTAGAATCCCAAGGAACATTAATTTCTCTTTTTTTGCCCCTCACCCTAGATTGCAATGTCTGTCTCTAGGTGAAAAAGGATGTCTTGCTAATACCTTTGACATATTATTATGGTCTAGACTCTCTATCTGTCTTTCATCAAAATTGAAACAACTTGTTTTATGTCAAAAGGTTGAGCAAAATTGTCAAACTTTGTTTTTTATAGTTGTGCAAAGATACCTGAAAGTGGACATAAGTGTATTGGTTTGAAAAGTCATGAGAGTCTTGCTAGCACCTTTGTTCTTTGAATTCTTATACCTACACTGTAGGGGTAATTGTAACATTTTTACTGCGATTTTTCATTGACCCTTGTTGTAACTTTTCAGTGTTGTACCGAGTCAGATAACAAGAATTTCTTGAAGAACAAGGCAGCGCAAGTCTTTAGCTTGATCTTTGTCTGTGATTATCCTGAGAAGGTTAGCTGATTTATTGTTATTTCAAGTGTAATGAGCGTGAATGCTGATACCCTAAATTGTAACTTGTGCCCAGATTTCATTCAGTGTGAGAGAACTTCATTTAATTTCCTGCCTCTTTCACAAGCTGCCTTTAGACAGTGTTGTGCCCTCATGGCTGGTAAACTCACGCCTTCCAGCCATGAGCCCCCACACCAATGGAACCAGGCACCTGTACCATTAATGATTTATCAGAGAAAAATTAAAGGGAGGGAACTAGGGTTGGGGAAAGGCACAATCCAAAGGCTGAACAAAGCGAGTAATCGCCTTGAAAGCATTGTACTAAGCACATGGAGCTGATGTTAGCAAGGCTGACTGCACTTGAGCCACCACACTGACTGCTGAGCAACAACACACGACGGCGCTCCTTGTTATTACCTGCGTTAAATGTTGTTTAACTTCATGTTACATTTCTCTTCACCCTGTAGTGGCCGCTGTTTTTCTCAGACCTCCTCCAGTGCTTGCAATATGGAGCATTAGCTGTGGATATGTACCTTAGGATTTTGAAGGTAATTGATGAGGAAGTGGTAGATAGAGATGTGATAAGGAGTCAGCAGGTTAATTTTGTGAATTGTTTTAAAAACTGTAATGCTACAATTTCCATTGGTGAAAATATATCTCCAACAGAGAGGGGTACAATCAAACACAAATTGATAACCTATTCAATTCTATATAGTATTTTACTACCTGACAATTCTCATACGAGCAGCTTGCAGCCACTGAAGAACCCATTTTAGTGGGTGTTGGTAAAGTGGGTTTGGACATGTACCTAATTTTTTATTTGCCTGATATAAGAGCTTGTTAAAGCTTGTCATTCAAGTTGTTTTTGTTGTGACAAAGTCCACCATGCCACACACATGAAGTTGTAGGTGCTAATATGAATCTAAACATGTTGTGCAAAGGGCTATGCTGTACATGTGTGAAATTGCTCCTTATGAAAATCAAAATCCTTTGCAGTTAAAACACCGCTTCTAGAATCTTGCTTGTCACATCTTGAAACTTTAAGACTGTCAACTTTTGTGGAGTTTCAGTTGGTTGTACTTGTACAAGTTTGTAAAACCATTTACTGATCAATCAGTTTAGAAGCTGAATGAAGTTTTTCTTCCATGAACAGGAAGCAGAGAGGAACACAAAAATTAAAGATCACATCAGGGATACGTGCCTCACAGAGCTCGTTGACTCTTGGTTTCAGATTCTGGTAGGTGGGAATCTTGTATTTTGGTACAACAATGAGGTTGAGGTTTCGCTGACTGTTTTTTATTATGTTTTGTATGCAGAAAACATATGAAAATAGTTTGTCATCAATAACATGCCTTTGCCTGGACATTATTGGAGCATATATTGAATGGATCGATATTGGCCTAATTGCAAACGACAGGTTTATCAGGTAATGTTCATTGTAAAAGGGGCAGAGTAAAGTTAATGCAGACTGCGGACTGACTGTGGACTACGCGGAATAATATTTTTAGGGTTAGAAAACAATGGGACTTTTGGTGAAAGAATGAAAGATGGTAAAATTTGAATGTACACCCTGTAGTATAATTTATGGCCTCCCTCTCCATGAGTTCTGCGTAGGTCAAGTGGATAGAGCATCCGCCCGGTGTTTGGGAGGTCATAGGTTTGAATCCTGTCGGGGACTCAGATTTTTTCTTTGTCCCACACTCGTGACATGCTGATTATTTTATTTTTCACAATATTACTTTTGTTGTCACATTGTCATTTGCTTTGTGAAAACAATAGTCATCAGTCTGTGTTTTACGCTGACTGATGGTAAAAATGTTTCCTTTGCTCTGTGTTATTGTTTGCTTTCAATTCTCATAAAGTCAGTTTTTGCAAGTAGCCTGTCAGTGGTTGAAGTCAACTGGCAGCTAATAATATGGAAAAGCATCACTTCTCATTGCTGAAAACTGTAAAAAGAGGATTTTACTATTAGCACAACCTTTGATTTTGTGTCGTGCTGACAAATTGATCATGTTTCTTTGTAGTACCTTTCTCCGGTACATGTCAGTTGAAGTTCTTCAGGAGAGCGCTTGTGATTGCATACATGAGATTATCATGAAGGGAATGGAGCCACTGGCAAAGAAAGAACTGGTGGAATCTCTTCTGAGCGTTCTGGAGAAAAGCAGCATCCTTGAACCACAAGAGGTAAAATGATTATTCATGTGTAAGCGTAACATTTTTGTCCAAGATTGTAACTTCAATACGCGGTTTCCTCCATATTCCCAGGGGTGAATGGGTGAATGTATTTTTTGTTTAATTTGTCATTTGAATCATCACTTTTAGGATGAAGATGCTGACTTCATGGCCAAGTTAGCAAAACTGACGAGTGCTTCAGGATCACAGCTTCTAAACAGCTACACTTTAGAAGTAAGAGATTATTGATTTGCTAGCACAATTTCAAACTGTGTTCTTAAGCAAGACAATACTTTAGAGAGACTGAGAGTTGTATTGTCAGGAAACAGAAAATGTCAGATTCAAGTTTAGAATTTCTCAAAATTGAAAACGTGCAGCTAAAAACAAGACATAACTAATGTGAAGCTATTAAGTTTGTGGTAGAATTAGTAAACAGTAAATTGCGCAACAAAGTTAAGGGAAAATTTGGTCGCATGGTATGAATTTCACGTTTGCTGTAAACATAACTCTAAATCTTTCTAAAAACCTGGACAAATATGCTTGGGACAGTACTGCAATATTCATATTTTTCTGTCATTTCTCGGTTCCCTCTTAAAACAGTGCCATCCTTTTCAAAATCTTCTTGCAGTTCTCCCCTCACCCCACCCTATACAAAGTAGAAAGTCGGTAAAAATTCAGGATAGTCGATACACGCGTCCAACATGGGTGAGGGAGGGTTGGGCCTGTGTGAATTGGAAAACGTCCCTGAGAAATGCAGAAGTGTTCCAGGACTTTTGGTAGAATATCAGAAACTTTGCTCACCAATTAGGGAAAGGTACTAAACTCTGTAATTTATCTACATTACATTTTTATTAAAACTATTTTTTTGGTATTAATGGCCTCGTTTAATAAAACACTTTAAAAAAGTCAAACTTCTGTAGAGCTGATCCCCCCACCGAAACAATCTAGAAAGAGCTCAAAAAGAGATGCAGTTTTTTTAGTTTGCTGTTATAATTCAGCACTCAATACGAGAAAGGTCGTAACAGGTTTTTTTCGTGTTCCAGTTACTCTTATATGCCAAGCATGACCAATAGTTGTTTAAGTGAAAGCGTAGGCTAGAAAGATTTTCCTGGTGATCGCTTTGCAAATGTGTAGCAAATTAGAATGCTGAGTTTACAGTAGTGCGAGGGCCGGCATAACTTATCTTAGAGAAGCCCCTAACATTCTTTTCTGTGGTGTTCCGCTTTTTAAGAGCATTATCGAGGAGCAGCTTCTGTTGAATCGAATGGCTGATGCCTGTATCAACTTGTTTGCTATGACGGCTTTGATTTCCAGAGCAGCGCGATCCATAAACCAAGTGCCAGCCATGAGGTGAGTGATAGGTAGCGTATTTAAATAAATGTAAGGAAGATCCTCGCATTTAAACTCGCACTAGCCTACATAGCAGGTGTTCAAAAGGGAAGGGAAAGAGGATTTGGGGTTTCTGAGAAGTGGTTTCGAGCCCAAATTCTCTTTACCTTCCCTTTCGAACGCCAGCCACACAGGCTAAACTCGCTAACTTGTGCATTTGTGAAAAAATAAAAGCCTGAAAAAATTCAGATTCGAACCAGGATTCCGGATTCGGGATTCGGGAGCCGGGACATGAACCCTAACCTAGTGAGGCCGTTATTTAATGAGTATTGACACAGGCAATCGAGGAATATCACTGGAAATTAAGCTTAAAATGAGTGACAATGTTGTTGTCGAAGTAATTGCGGCTATTAACTTTTTGCGGTAACTGACTTTACGTCAACCCTCTCACCCTCAACCTTCCCAGCAAAAAATGTTTAAAAAAGCTCGATACCGTGTTAACGGTAAGAGCTATTTTTGGTGGCCTTCGCAAAATAGATTTACCAGAGGATTTTGAATTTATTTATCAACTGTCATTTTTTTCAATATGTTTTCCTTACAGATACAATATGCACTAACAAGTGCAACGTGAACAATGCTCTCTTCAAAGAAGTCAGATCAGGTTAGAAGCTGCATTATTTTTTATTGGGCAGGGTGTAGCTATCTTAATATACTGTAAGCGCTCTATTGTAGCACAAACTTTGTTACTTGGGTGCCAGTCTTCATAGTTCATAGTGTCCTGCCAACCATTAGGCTCACAGGGAAAAATAACCGATTCCCATTTTTGGATATTTTTGGGTATTTAAAGAATACCCACAAAAATCCCAAATTTGGAAGAGTGGGACAAGTCCCAATCAGGGAACTTGGTTGGGAATTCCCTGGTTGGGACTTGTCTCACTTTGCCAAATTTGGGATTTTTATGGGTATTCTTTAAATACCCAAAAATATCCAAAAATGTTAATCCGTTATTTTCTCCTGTGGCTATGTTCACATTATACTAGATAGCTTTTCCTGCCGACACAAAAATCTATCCAGTATTATATGAAAACCAATCCGATATATGACCCTCCAATTTCAAAACTGGCACGGCGCACCTTTCATTCCGTTACAAAGATGGCGCCGAAATCACCGTTCTCAGACGTGAACAGAAGCCCCATCCAGCAGGAGTTTCGTGACAGCGCAACATATTATCTGCTACACAGTCGCTTTAAGTGTTGTCATGCAACGCTCCTCCCGTGACAACACTAAACATGGCTGTGGCTGTATAGCAGACTAAACAGATATTGGGTATAGTGTGAACATAGCCTCAGTCTCACACATTGGTGAGGGGTGTTGCGTGACGATATTAGTCTGCTATAAAGGCCGTTCTTAGTGTTGTCATGCAACACTCTTCCTGTCACAACACTAAACACGGCTGTGGCTGTATAGCAGACTAAACAGATATTGGGTATAGTGTGAACATAGCCTCAGTCTCACACATTGGTGAGTGGTGTTGCATGACGATATTAGTCTGCTACACAGCTGTTTTTAGTGTCGTCACGCAACACTCCTCCGGTCAGAACACTAAACACTGCTGTGGCTGTATAGCAGACTAAACAGATATTGGGTGTAGTTTGAACATAGCCTTAGTCTCACATATTGGTGAGGGGTGTTGTGTGATGATATTAGTCTGCTACACAGCCGTTTTTACAGTCGTCACACAACGCTCCTCCCGTCACAACACTAAACACGGCTGTGGCTGTATAGCTGACTAAACAGATATTGGGTATAGTGTGAACATAGCCTTAGTCTCACATATTGGTGAGGGGCGTTGCGTGACGAGACAAAACGGCTGCATTGCTAGATCAACACAACACTTGGTATCTTACAATAATTTAATACCTCTCAACTCAAGCACGTTTTCCGTTTGAAAAGGAATGTGTCACGTGCTGCCTGCCATCTGCAAACCTTCCTAGCTCCCAAACAAACCTTACTCACACTTGACCAGGTCACGTGGTTTGAACCTACAAAAATCCATGTGCCGATTGAGCCAGACAAAAAAAATTCACACTCTCATTACTAAACCTAATTGATAATTTGTTTTAGTATTCACCAAATCAGTGGATAGCAACTTTCACGCGTTCTGATTGGCTCCAGTAACTCGGAATATCCTTTGACATTCACTGTTTTTGGACGAAATTCAAAATGGCTTCCCGTTTCGCAACAGTTTCGAAAGATAAAATGTTAGCGATAAATGAAGCAGCTGCACCAACAAATACCTAGAATAAGACAAAATTGGGCTTGTCGGTGTTTACTGGCTGGTAGAAAAAAAATTTCTCACTACATTTGCAACAAAATCATAAAAAATGATTCCTGAAACACTGTCAATTGAAACGTAAACAAACTCTGGCTAAGTGACGTCGTTTGTTTACAAAAAGTTCCTTTTTGATTTTTTTCCAACTGATTTGGTAAATACTAAAACAACTATCCCCTTCAGGGTCGGTTCATAGCGCTGGATATATACCTCGACGCTTCGCGTGTCAGTATATGCACCACTATTCACCTCCCCTTCGGGGGATAGTTGTATATTATTTTTGACATTTCAGAAATGACAAAAAAGTCGTAAGCCCCGTCTAGCAACAGTTTAAATTATTCTGACTCTGCGGGATGTAAAAGACACACCAGGGACGTAACAAATTTCTGACATTGACCACCCCTCCCCCTCCCCGTGATCTTGGGTGGGCAATCCGTAGGAAAAGATCTTCATTCAGGGATAAACCCTCGGATTCTCCTTCAGGGTGATGAAGCAGCTACCTACAAACATACATGGGATATGAGTTTTTTAGGTTTACCTCGGTGTTTGTAGCCTGCGAACGCAGATGTATTTCTGGTCGTCCCTTTTCTCCACCCGGAAGTAAGAGAAGCGACGACCGGAAATACATCTGCGTTGGCAGGCTACGGCGTAAGAACCTGGGAACTTTTTCTTTGCCTCGCACCTTTTGTTGTTTGTTTTGGTTCTACTCTTTTGACTTCGTTGTTTTCTTTGTTTTACGTTACTCGTGAGTTTTACAGGTTCTTACACCGAGGGTGAGCCAATTTTTTTTAAGGAGTTTTGGTTTGTTTCATCTTCAGGTTCAAAAAGGAATGGAGACGATCATTTAAAGAAAATTGTCACAGATGTTTTCCATAATGGAGGGTGCGTAGCACCGCACACACTGAACGTCTAAAAATAATTTATTTTCATGTTCTAAATTATTGCACATGAAACTGTATAATTATAACTATTTATAATGTAACGTCTGTTAGTACAGGATGTATTTTAATGTGTATAGACAGGGGCCCATGGGCTTCTGGGATAGTACATACAAGGAAACTTTAACTTGTATACCATTGTTCCGAGTCTAAATTTAACTTCTTTTCCCAGTAAGTGAAAAGAAGGCTGAAGGCTTTATGAGTAACCACGTATTGAATAAAATACGTCAGGCATTTACAGTTTTAACAAGTGATGTGCAAATAATTGTTTTTCTTCTGCTAGGGTCATGCGAAGTAGACGCGTTGGTCCCAGGATTATTGATTTCCTTTTTATTGGGCTGCCTGTGGCAAACCCACAGGGCGACGCTCAATCAAGGAATGAGAAGCAACATTCTTCCATGGTCTTCCATCTTAAGTCGAAAAAAGACAAAATGACGGGCTGATCTCCCAGCAGGCATTGCCTGTCCCTTTCCCCCTACAGTAGATCCGATTTTTAAGGGAAGGGGATGGGCCATTTCATATAAAAGGCTTTCAAAGTGCTATTCTTACGCCAAAAAGGAAGGGAAAAAATAACATCGTAGTAAACTCATCGAAACTTTTTGCCTTAAGTCGCCCTACCACTAGACAAATTTAACTTGTTAATGGGATTAGAAGACAACAGCAGTACAAGCTAGTTAGTAGTAATTTATTTGTTTTAACTCAACTATGCAGATAGATCTTTAAAAGAGATCTCACTCTTATCACTGATAACAAACAAATTCAGTAAATTTAACCGCACAGAATTTTTGCAGCCCAATACACGCGTAGTATAACCGTCTATATTTGTCGTAAGGCTCTGACTACCCTGGGTTCTAGAGGTTGCTCCTCGCGTGCGGCGAGCGGGATGCTTCGCTGTCGGTCGCTGGCCGAGAGATCTTCGGCCGACTGAAGGCCGAAGCCACGAGCAACCGGGCATGAAAAGTCTCTGGCACTTAGGGTAGCCTCTGAATCCCTTTGGGAATTTTTTTTTTTCCAACCAAACTACTTCCTACGATGAAATTTGTAGCTTCTGTCTTCATCGCTGCCGCTCATTAAACGGGAAAATTAAAAACAAAATACTCGAGAATCTTCATCCCGCACCGTAGTGCAGCAACTTCCATTGGTGACCAAAACTTTTAAAACATCTTGCCTCAGGAAACGAACGGAATGGCTTGTATTTATCTTTTTGGTTCTTTGTTGCGATACCCTTGCTAGAGAAAATTGTGACAGTCGAACTTCTTTGTGCGATGATCTCACATAAGCGACAGTCTATCCAAAACTCGTAGTACCACCTTTTTAGAAGATAGTTGAATATTTTCTTTTGTTTTAAACCAATGCCGTAAGCACTTGCTTGATACACGGTCCAAGCCCCTCCCTGCGCATACGTTGTAGGGAGGTGGCCGTTATTGCCAAATCAAAGATGACTTGGGATCCCTAGGCGAAGAAAACTACATCCGAGAGTAGAAGGGTGGCCTTAAGTCTTCCCTTCCTTGTTCTTTAGGCACTGTAGCCACCCCTACACCGAATTCTTGCTCCCTCAACACTGAACGAGAAAAAGTTTTATAATCCACTTGGGCGATGGCGTCGTTTGATTACGGAACTGTTTACATCGGGAATATTTCCTTTTCTTCGGTTTTCTATGATAAAAATGTCTGTAGTGGTCAAAGAGAAGTATTAACTTACTCCCCTCCCCCACGCACAACCTGGG